GGGATACCAACAGCTACAGTAAACTTAGCCTAACTCCTAGCCGGAAAAATATAAAACCTCACACATGTCTTGCACATTAGTTCTTTTTACCTCATGTGTGCCTCTCAACAAAAAAATTATATATTGTGGTAAAAGTAAAAATTAAACCAGAAAGGAGAAAAAAGAAACTACCTGAAGAGACAAACCAAACATCAGAACTAGACTCAGGTATTGCAGAGGATTTGGACTGATCAAACCTAGAATTTAAAATCATTATGGTGCTGTCAAGGTGACATACTGGGTTAGGTGTTAGGCTGCTAATTCTAAGGTCAGTTGATCAAAACCACCAGCTACTCCAAGGGAGAAAGAGGAGGCTTTGTACTCATGTACAGAGTTATAGTCTTAGAAGTATACAGGGAAGTTCTATTGTTCTGTAGGGTTCGTATGAGTAGGAATAAACTCAATGGCAGGGAGCCTGATTTGTGTGTGTGTGTGTGTGTGATTTTTAAGTAAGTGTGGGCTACTAACCACAAGGTCTGTAGTTCAAACCAATTACCACCTCTGCCAGAGAATACCGAGGCTGCTTGCTCCCACAAAGTCTTACAGACACCTTACATATGGTCGCTATGAGTTAGGATTCACTAGATGGCAGTGGATGATTAATATGCCTGACCCAAGTTATGGTACTTTTCAATCACCTGTTATGCATTGACAATAAATAGGGGAGACTGGAGCTCTTTGAATTATGATATAGAATATGCCAATGACTGCCAGAAGAAGAAACAAATTTATGTTGGAAGAAGTGATGGTGAGATTTCATCTAATGTACTTTAGACCCGCTTTCAGGAGAGGCTAGTCTCTATAGAAGTGCATCATCTTTTGTAAAACAGAGGACCACTGGCAAAGAGGATGATCATCCATGACATGGATTTACACAGTGGTTACAACAATGGAGTCAAACAACAATTGTGAGGATGTTGTGCTTTGAGTTGGAACGGACGCTACAGCTCTGATGACGACAACATGATTAAGATGTAAAGCGCTCTGGTGCGAAAGGTGGGTCACATACAAGATAAGTAATGCAGGCAGAGATTTAAGAACACTTGTCAGAAATGAAGAATGCCTTTGCGTGCTCATCATTAGATGATGGGCTTGGCTCATCGCCCAAAAAAGGAAAACATCTCAGTTGGAAAATATGTTCGTAGAAACTCCTCAACTGAAATGGCTGTAGGGGGGCGGGGTAGAGGGGAAAATAAGAATCTATATAAAAAATTGCAAGAAATTATAAAATGTGTAAAATACCTACAATTACTGGTAAGACACTGAACTACAGATGCAGGAAACTCAGAGAATATCCACGTCAGAGAAATTCTAAAAAATCTACACCTACCCATATCCAAACAATAGGAAATCAAAGATAAAGAAATACTAGTCTTGAAAAAAGCTAGAGGTGGAGAAATGCCTTACTTTCAGAGGAATAAGTTGCATCAGATTCCTCTTCAAGAAACCCTATTAGAAGGATGGGAATGAAAGGAAATAGAGTGCTGTTTCTAGTGATGCTTGTATCTGCAAAGAAACATGTTTCTAGCCCTGCAGGACCAGTGGTGTGAGTAGCAAAACAGGGAGGGTAAAGGGAGAGTGGGTAGGAAAGAGGGAACCGATTACCAAGAACTATATGTGACCTCCTCCCTGGGGGACAGACAACCGAAAAGTGGGTGAAGGGCGACGTCAGACAGGGCATGATATGACAAAATACCAATTATGAACTATCAAGGGCTCATGAGTGAGAGGGGATCGGGAAGGGCGGGAGGAAAAATGAGGACCTAATGTCGGGGGTTTGAGTGGAGAGAAAATGTTTTGAGAATGATGTACAAATGCACTTTACACAATTGATGTGTGTATGGATTGCAATAACAGTTGTATGAGCCCCTAATGAAATGTTAAAAAAAAAAAAAGAATAATATCAGTACAAAACTTGAAAAAAAAAAAAAAAAGAAACATGTTTCTAAACATGGGGTATAATGAACAAATAACAATGATCGTTAAAGACTTTTGAAGTATATAATAAAAAGAACATATGGAACAATGAAGACTTTAAACAAGTTTAATACCACATCTTTCATGACCTTTTAGGTATGGGACAGCTACAATCCACATTTGTAGTAGACAGAAGTCCAGAGAACCAGTCTCAGTCCTTGCAACATGCTATCATATGTTAAGACGCTAATTTCATTGGAATATTTCTCTGAAGTCATGGAAGCTGTGGTTGTAGTAAAATCAACTCATTTACTTTCTTACTCTTTTTTTCCATTCCAATGTTTTGTTTTGTTTTAAAGGACAAAACCTGCCATCAGATGATTAACAATTATAACGAATGAAGAATGGGAAAAGAGTATGACTAATTTCTAAAACCTTTAAACAGTAAAAAAAAAATTGGATTTTGATAATTAATCTGGGGGGGAGATGGAATAAGGAAATCTATTTTTTCTTCTTGCAAAAGCATACAAAGCCTTCCTGCCCATTAGAGTTGGGAATACTTTTATAGGCACTAGATAACTCCTTCCCCTAAACCTTAAAAAGTAATGTATATAAGATACACATGAATGCTAACATTTAATAAAAAAACTCAGTTCCAAAGTCCAAATATTTAAAGCTCATTTAAAAGGAAAAAAAACTGGAATGGTATAGTACTGTCCCGGGCGTAAAAACATAAAAGTCAAGGCCTTTACCCCCGTTTTCTGAAAACAGTGTCTCTCCACAGAAGTTTGATGACTTAAGAACTTTGTCCCAATTTTACCAGCCTGTGTGATCCCGAGGTGTCGATGGGTTAGGATATCAGGCATCAGAAGATCCCAAATAAACAAATATATCGATGCAAATGATGGAGGTTGGAGGGGAGACCCAAAGCTCATCTGTAGACAATTGGACATTCCCTCACAGAAGGGTCAAAAGGAAAGAACAAGACAGCCAGGGTGCAGCATAGCACTGTCGGAACACACAACACAATTCCTCTAGTCCTTTAATGTTTCCTCCCCCCGACTATCATGACCCCAGTACTACCTTACAAATCCGGCTAGACCATAGCATGTACACTGGTAGAGACACTCAGAATCCAGGACAGATAACCCCCTTAGGTACAGTAATGGGAGTAGCAATACCATCAGGGTAGGGGGAAGGTGGGGGAAGAAGGGGGAGAAACCGGGAACTGACAATGATGGATGCATAACTCCACCCCACTCCCTACCCAGGGGGACGAACAACAGTAATGTGGGCTAAGGGAGATATGAAAATAATAATTTTTCAGGGGTCCATGAGGGTGGGAAGGTGGGGAGGGAAGTTAAAAAGAGGAGCTGATACCAAGGGCTCAAACAGAAAATATTTTGAAAATTATGAAGGCAACATATGTACTAATGTGTTTCATACAATTGATATATGGATTGTTATAAGAGCTGTGAGTACCCAATAAAATGATTTATTAAAATTAAAAAAAGAAAAACAATATGTTTACCTTTTGATACTTTCCTTTAATAGAGTTTATGATTTAGAAAAAAAACAACACAAGACCCACTCACTGCCATTAAGTTGATTCTGATTCATAACAACCCTATAGCACAGGGTAGAATTGACCCTGTGGGTTTCTGAGACTGTAAGTCTTTACAAGGTATTGAAAAAGCCTCAGCTGGTGGTTTCAAACTGCTGACCTTTGGGATCACAGCCCTACATTTAACCACTAAACCATTTGAGCTTCACAGCGCCTTGAGTTAGCAACAAGTCTGTTTGTTTAAGTACTACATAAAGACAATAAACCTCAATAAACTAAAAACAACAACAACAACAA